AGGTGTAAAATATCTCAGCTCCCAACTGATGCCAGCTGCTTCTCGGACTGTGACGTAACTCCTCAACCGCAGTCCAGAATCCAACCAGGCCTTGCGAACACATCGTCTCTAAGAACATGGAGAGATATCTACGGCCTGTCACACTCTCCATGACCTTGTGTAATGGAAGGGTCTGTAAAGTGCAAATAAATTATAAATATTAATCTTTAAATATATATTTAATCACATGACTACATCGGAATTTATTATGCAGTTTTTCCTTTATTGCTAGGTAAGTATGTTTAGTCATTTAAAATATAATGTAATAATACAAAACATGTGATAAGATTTTTTATTTTAAACAATAAATCCCATAAGTGTAGGCAAATTACAGACTTCAATGTGGCAAGAATCTGGTTTACCTCAATCGACTTATTAATTATGTTATTTTCACATACCTTACTATCTGATTCCACAGCAGGAAATGCCCCATCCCAGCCAAGTTTCTTCAAGGCCTTTTCACATTCAACCTTAGCTATAGTAAGTTGGTTGATGTATCTCTTGAGTTTCTTAGCATCGGCCAGTTGTTGACGGCTTATATTATGCTGTGCGCTGCTTTTCTCAATTATATCCACATCTATCCCTTTAGCTCTTTTCATGTTTTGTAATGTAGTTGCTTGCATTATTTGTGTTACAATATCATAACTGTAATAAAAATAAACTATATGGATTTAATTTAATGATTAAATGATGATAATCTTACTAATATTATAAATGTGAATGTTTGTTAGAAGGTATATAAATATAAATTTAGCATAGATGTAGGACATAGTCTGTAAGGACTGTATGTCTGTATTTTAAACATAATAATATTGCCTTGCCTTGTTTCTTATATTTTTTGCTATTCTTATGTTTTGTAGCAAAGAGGTACCTTGCTTAAATTACATAGCAATCACACATGCAATAAATAGTGAAAGTACATAATGCTTACATACCGTAACCGTTTCAGTGTGTCAACATTATTGCAGCTGTTTATAAGTCTTATATAATCTTCAAATGTTTTTGCATACTCATGCGTCCTCACATGCATTGCATCTACTTCTTTTTGCGCCTCTAAATATTGAATTATCTTCTGATTTATATAATCTGGTTCCGTTACTAGATTAATGGCTGGTTGTAAAACTAAAATAAGAATAATATAATTTGATACTATTTTAAATAACTATTTGCAATCTTCACCGAAAACATAACATTGAAGTCATTGAGGAAGACCTATGTAAACATACAAAGGCTATTTTTGAGGAAAATATTTTCCTCATAGCACTGCAATTTTTTTAAATGAATGTGTTTACTAACTCATCATTAAATATAAAAGAATATACATACTCTTGCAAGCCAATATTTCTCTCAGAAGGTGGGATACTGGTGTTAAGGAGTAGCATCGAGGCATTAGGAACATTATAAGCAATTCGCTAATCTGACGCAGGTAATGCAGTTCTGTCTCACAGGACGTCAAGTGCGGTGCCAGGGCAAATACAGGAGGTTGGTTCAGTTCTAAACTGTAAGTAACAAATATATAAATTAACTTTAGAATCAAATTGGTACAAATCTCTATATTCAATTTTGTTTACTAATTTTTACTACAAAAGCTATTTTTAATCTAGTGTTATAGGGTTTTAGTTCTGAAGATTTTACAGATAAAATAAAATTAAATCAATTAATAAAATTATTTGTAGTATCAAAATTAATACAATACTCACGCACAACTTCTAGCAATCCTTATTCTTTCAAAGTGCTGTGTTATTTTGGTCACCATGTCATTGGCTAATAACTTCTCAGCATCTATTCTTAATAATCTTTCATACAGTGTCTGCACGGCGCCCCACATATGCTCCTTGAATTTATCAATAACCGGCTCAGGCTTGTGTGATAACTCCTTAAGCCAGCGAGCAACGAAGTCTCTTATCAAATAGTCTATCAAAAGTTGCAGTTGACTATCTACAGTGCGTCCGAAAATAACAGCCAAGTGAGACTTTCTTCTTACATACACCCAGGAGTTTTGATCTTCCTGTATAAAATTAATAAATAAAGAACAGAAACAAATATATTTAACAGAAAGTAAGTATCCAGTACAAACCCTGATTGTCTCTTCCAAAAACCTTGATTCTTTTTCTGCTTTATCCAATAAAAACAGGGAAGCCTGATGAGGTGATGATAACGCAATATGGCCCCAAAATGTTAACATAAAAATACCAATTCCAATAAATGCACTAAGTAACATCAAATACGTGATACTCCATAAAAGAGGAAAATACCAAAATATTGAAATAGAAATAGGTACGGTAGAAAATAAAATCCATTTCAACATTGTTAAAAATTTGAAATAGAATGTATATTTTCGATAGCTATGTACTTATTTTGACGATTAACAGGTAGGTAAAATGTTATCGTCCATTTTTTTTTTTACTTAAGATATTTTTATGTCTTCGAAACACTAAGTTACATTGTTATTATATTTTAACTAAATTTTGTTATTTTATTTGGGCTGTAGTACATTTAAATCACTTGAGTAGTATTGATGTTTCGTTTTACTATGACTGACTATCTGTCACTATGTCACATTGACAGATGTTTCCAGTTTCATTTCATCGTGGATAAAGGAATTTAGAAATGATCCAAAGAGTGTTGTTTTTGGCTACAAAGCGCATACGCATTTTACTGTTGTTCAAATAAAACCTTTGAAATAAGTTAATACAATATTTATACACATAGAATAATTTTATATACTCTTTGTATAATAGGTGTACAAAAACACGGTCACTTTATACCGGAAATTCAAACCAAGTTCTTACGCACTTCCCACCTCCCACAGTTCCCATGTACCTATTTAACGTTGCTATTTGTTAATTTTATGTTGTCAGATGTCACCTGTCACGTCAAGTGTCAATAAGTAAAGTATACAACTGCAAACAGCAACTTACTTTCCTCTGTAAAACTTGCAACAAATTTACTAACTAATAACTACATGCTGTTGCTAATGGTGAATCTACACTACAACTCAGTAGGTGTTTAAAGTGTTCTCGAATATGGCTAATTTAAAAGTTTCGTATTTAGTTGTTGGAGGCGGAATAGCCGGAGTGACATGCGTGGAAACTTTAGCTATCTTGCATCCCGAAGAGAGTCTTGCAATGATTACTGCCTCCTCGTTAGTTAAAAATGTAAGCAATGTTAGTTTCTATGCTAAAACTATTGTAAAATTTGATGTTTCTGAAACAGAAGCTAGTTCATTATTAAGAATACATCCTAATCTTAATATTATTTATGACTCCTTAAAAACTTTGAACACAAAAGATAAAATAGCAACTACAGATAGTGGTGTCACCATTGAATACAAAGTAGTCTGTATTTGTACTGGAGGTATACCTCGGTTAATATCAGACTCTAATAAATGTGATAGAATCATAGGAATAAGAGACACAGATTCTGTAAATGACTTTAAAGAAAAGCTTAAAAATGGTCAAAGAATGGTAATAGTTGGAAATGGAGGTATCGCCTCAGAAATAGTTCATGCTACAAAAGGAATAAAAAAAGTATGGGTGATTAGAGATGATTATATTTCAAAAACCTTTATTGACCCAGGGGCAGCAGAATTTTTTCAAAACACTATGAAGACTAAATCATCTGAAGTCCCACTGGCTCCTTCAATACTAAGGAGACACATATTTACAGAGGATGATAAATTGATATCCATTAATAAGAATTTGAAATCAGCTGCTTTAGGACCTGATTGGTACCATAAACTTGAAACCCTTACTGGTGATTGTACAGAACAAGAACTAGAAATAATTTACAATGTTGAAGTTGATTCTTTTCAGGAAGTAAACAATAAAGAATTTCCATTAGAAGTAAAACTTACTAATGGAAAGCTAGTTCAATGTGATTTTGTTGTATCTGCTACTGGTGTTGAACCAGCTGTAAATTTTTCTTGGGACCAAGAACCAAAAAGGGGACAAGATGGTGGATTAGTAGTAAATGAATATCAGGAGACTTCTATTGAAGATGTGTTTGCTGCTGGTGATGTTGCTACAGCTACTTGGAAATATGCTCCACATTGGTTTCAGTTAAGGCTTTGGACTCAGGCCAGACAGATGGCCGGTATGGCTGCTAAGGCTATGCATGGAAAGATTACTAATGAAAGTGTTCTACAAGATTTTTGTTTTGAACTTTTCACTCATTGCACAACACTTTTTGGGTACAGAGTAATATTGTTAGGAAAATACAACGGTCAAGGTTTGGGAAATGATTATGAAATATTGCTTCGCACAACTCCTAAACTTGAGTATATAAAATTTGTCCTCAAAAATGGGAGGTTACAAGGTGCTATATTAATTGGAGAGACTGATTTAGAAGAAATGGTAGAAAATCTTATATTAGATCAAATAGACTTAACACCATTTGGTGATGATATCCTGAATCCTGATATTGACATAGATGACTATTTTGATTAAATAATTTGTTAGGAATGTTACTTTATTCTAACTTTCTGCAGTTAGCAAATGATTGTGATATTGCCAAAGATTATAGACCTACAGAAAAACATGTTTTTCTGAAAATTATGATGTATTTTAACTAGTAGTAAGCATTTAAAATACTAAATTATTTTGTAACTAATATTTATTTTATTTTGATCTTTTTAACTAGTTGTATTAAATATACTTAAAAAAAAAGTATTTATTTGTATTCCTTTCTTCCTTTTCCTCTAGGTTTAAACTTAACCAGTGTTAAAACAATCGTTAAGTACACTCTCTTTTTTTTCTTTGTTAAATGTGCAAAATAATGAAAATTGGTCTTTATTTTTTTGTATGACAAAAAAGCTGTGCATAACTTTATACTTTGTATTATTTAAGAATTGTGAAAAAGCTAAGGTTACTAAAACTTTGATTTTGATAACTACCAAAAGACTTTAACGATATCTTACTAGCAACATTGACAAGTGTCTTTCGTCTTTTTCTACTTTCATGTTTTTCGATGTCATGTCATGAATGTTAATTTTGTGCTTCAGCAATTCGCAAGTGTTGAAATAATCAGCTTTTGTGTATGTAAATAACGATTTCCAGTTTTATTTATTGTGATCGTGACCGTGACCAGAAAAGTTATACTTCATACATAAGTTCTTGTGATTTTAAAGCAAAATAAATACACAAAAAGTTTAAATTGTTTGCGATAATACGTTACATAGTGACTAATAAATTGTTTTGTTTGTCTTTATAATCTCAATACTGTAGAATCGAAATTATTTGAAGTATATAAACAAAATGCCGATTCTATTTAGCGTAGTTGCCCGGGGCACAGTTGTCTTGGCTAAGTATGCAACTTGCGCTGGAAATTTTACAGAAGTCACTGAACAAATACTAACAAAGATTCCACCCCGCGATGACAAACTCACTTACTCTCATGGAAATTACCTTTTTCACTATATTGCGGAAAACAAACTGGTATACTTCTGCATTACTGACGATGTAAGTACTTGTTGCCCTTGTTACTTAATTAAATCACTGAACAAAACTTAAATATTGTTGTTAAACTTCTAGAAATTTCAACGATCGAGAGCATTCCTCTTTCTTAATGAAATCAAAAGAAGATTTACTTCAGCATTTGGGGATACTGCACAGACAGCTATCCCCTATGCTATGAATGGAGAGTTTTCAAGAGTCTTGGCCACTGAGATGACACATTATAGTGAATCAAAAGACTTGGACACTATATCCCGAGTGCATGGTGAACTTGACGAACTGAAAAATATCATGGTAAAAAATATTGGTAAGTATTTTTATATTTGTAGCATATTTAAGTTCACATTAAGATTCACATCAATATAACATATGATGCATGTCATCATACTAAAAGACCATTAAAAAAATCCTGATTTGGTCTTTACAGAAAATAGAAAGAACAACGTTTTTATTTATTTTTAGGTCAATGTTACCTACAAAAAATCACTGATAAGTTTTGTGCTCAGAAAAAGTGTAAATAAAATGAACATCTTTTTTATACAACCATCTTATCTTAAGGATTACTTGATAGTGTAGTTAATGTTAACTAATTTTAAGTACCTTGTATAGTATCAGTTAGTCACTAACATAGCAAATTGTTTTGAAATACAGTCGAACCTGGATAAGCAAGAGTTCATAGGATCACAATATTTTCCTTGCGTTTAGAGGTTTCTCTATTATCCAGTTGTTGTCTATCCAGGTTACACTGTATTTCAATAATCTTGAAGAATAAGTTGCCTCATTGAAATGTTCTTTTTGTAGAATAAAGTGAGAAGCCAAATATGTGTTTCTTAATAAAAATACAAATATTTTCATGATTTACCACCACAACTGTTGAAAGCAACGTTTAAACATTGAATTCACTTAAATATAAGTGCCTTTAGGCAGAGTAGACAAAAGTGCTTAATATTATAAATAATTTAAATATATTCATTTGCCTTTGTTCTGGTTGTAATATTTTTATTTACATGTGTTTGTTATCAGACTCTTATCATTAAATTGTTTAGGTCATGTTGTAAGTAAACACTGCATTTGTATGTCAATAACCAATATGATTAATGATTCATAGATTATGGCCAGCCTAGTTGTTCTTGTTTCCTTGGTTTTTGCTGTATTAATATGTAATGAATTGAAACTAAATTTAATGTATGATCACTTTGCGGTCGCTATTTTAGATTGCAAATGATAATCTGTCTTATTAATATTATAAATGTAAATGTATGGATGGATGGACGTTTGTTAAAAGGTTTCTTGAGAATGGTTCTAAGGATCCTGCTGAAATTTGACTTATGTAGAATATAGTCTGGAAGAACACATAGGCTAATCATTTTTTTTAATACCGCGCTAGGAGTCACGGGTGAAAGCTACTTTCTCATAAATCATTAATTATCCCTTGTTATGTGTGAAATATCCTTTTTGCTCTAATTGGTTGAGTCTGCAACACAATTTAATATGTTTACATATATTATTATAATGTTTCTACAAAATTTTAGATACTAAACCTGTTTTTAATTTAGAATCTTATCTCATACATTTATTAGATGTAAGAGTGGCCTATTTTGCGATAATGTATCAAAAATGTAAATACATTTTTTTTAAATCATTAAAATTTTGCATAGGAAAGATTATTTTACATAATAGTCTGTGAAGAGAAACTATGATTATAAGACCTTGAAGAAACATCCTCAGTTATACCTAATTATGATACATTCTCACGGCCGTTTAATCAATATGTATTATGTTAATGTGGTATTAAGTAAATAAATGTCTATAAACTTAATCGGAGTAAATAAAAAAGAAGTTCATATTTAAATAAATGTAAAATGTTTTGAGCGATAATTTGCTTATTTTCACATGAATTCACATAAATGTTCTGAATTTAAAAAAATTGGGAATTCCACTCATATTCATTTTAGATTTTAGCACTTTTTTCGTGTTGTTTTCAATATATTTTTCTCAAATATTCATTCTTTATCGTCATTTCGAAAAAACTTTTATTCTGCATCATGTCAAATATAATAATTAAATTGCAAGATGTATGTTTTTTAAATGTAGAGAACTTGGTTAAATAACATGTATATTAAATTTAGATTTGTTGTCTAATTCTTATCAAAATTCTAATACAAAAAAATACATTTACTGAAACAGCATGTTTTTTTTTATTTAAGTAGGATTTCTTTGATCATAATTTATGCATGATAAGAAGTTCCATACTTCTCAGGTTATTGACCTACAAAGAAAAAATATTTAATTAATGTTGTATACAATTTTTTATGTTATTAAATTCAGGACAAGTATTTCTGTCTGTTTGCTATGATATTATTAATTCAATTTTAGTGGTATAAAAGTATGGTAAAATTTTGGTAAATCGTAAAGTGCTGGGACACGCCTTAATTATAAAAATTTAACTACATACATACTGTATATTATGTTTATGTGTAAAAAGACATACTTCTAGATATTGCGAAAAGTTAGTTTGTTTTTTTATTCTATTTCTAATTATCTATGTTTTTTTTATCTTTTTAAATTATTTATATTTATAATGGAATTTACTTATAACAAAACGTTTCGGATTTAAAATATAAATAAATATGTATATTAGTTTACATAAATGCCTTTTATGTTACAGACAACATGGCGATGCGTGGTGAAAAACTAGAATTACTGGTCAATAAAGCTGATAATTTGGCGACACACGTAAGTGATACATTAGTGATATAATGTATTTCTCCAGACGAATAAAATTAAATAATATAGATAAGTTTTTATATGAAATAAAATAAAATTTAACAAAAGAAACTGGCAACACTGGATAGCACATGCCGTCGAAAGCAATATTTAATCATGCATATTTAAAAAGAAAAGAGAATAAGTAATTATTTTTCGGTATATTTACATAAATAAATATATTCTATTTAATGTTTTTAGTTTAAAGTTTATTTATTGTGACGATATTTTGTCAGCATATAAGTTTAATTCAGGGTACAGAAAACTAAAAATTTTAATTCTATCCACATTTTCGATTGTAAGCTGTTACCAGAGAAAGTGCATGCAATAAATACATAAATTCAAACACCACTATATATAAAAGAAAGTCGTGTTAGTTACACTATTTATAACTCAAGAACGGCTTTACCGATATGGCTGAAAATTGGTGAGGAGGTTGCTTAGAGCCAGGAGACAGACATAGGATACAATTTTTTATATTTTTCGAATTTATGCCTTGAAGAGCTGCTTTTAATTTAACTTTCTAATATTATAAATGCGAATGTTTAGATGGATGTGATGTGGATGGATGAATGGGTGTTTGAATATATCTCTAGAACGGCCGAACGGATCTCGATTAAATTTGGCATACGTATAGAACATGGTCTGAAAGAACACATAGGCTACACTAAGTTTTTTTATAACCACGAGGACAAAGTCGCGGTCGACAGCTAGTAACATATAAAATCCATGCCGTAAATTTTACAAATAATTCTAATATATGTAGTTTTAAAAGTATATATTTATCAATAATATAGTCTAGATAAAGATATTACTTATGCTACTTGTTTTGTAATGGATTCCCTCATATAGATTTTATATGACTTCCATGATCTTGTACAATGGCATTGAATAACATAACTTACCTATCTTAACATAGAGTAAGGACAAATAAATATAGAGGCATATGTATTGAATAGAGTTTACATATTTCCATCTCTAAATAGATGCTTTTTATGTCAACATTCTTTAGTTGGGTTTTGAAACATTTTAATCTTATCTTATATCTTTAAATGAGCAATTCTTGTATATATATATATATAATTGGAATCTCGGAATCGGTTCCAACGATTTTCATAAAATTTAGTATATAGGGGGTTCCGGGGGCGATAAATCGATCTAGCTAGGAATCATTTTTAGAAAATGTCATTCGTGTTTTATCGATAATCAACTTAAACATAAACTTAACTTTTTCTACCGGTAAGATCGAAAAATATTATTCATATTTCATCATTTTATTATTAATTCGTACTTAAATATAATTTCCAAAAAACACAATTAAAAAAAATACCGAGCAAACCTCGGTCAGCCAGATTTTACAATTTAAACTTTAATAAATTACAGTTGTTATGTTGATATGCGTAAGTAATTCTTAATGTTCTACCTTTCAGTCGGTCTCGTATCGTGCGTCAGCTAGGACCCTCCAGCGTTCCTTGTTCTGGAAGAATATCAAGATGTACGTGATATTGATTCTTATCGTTGCTTTAGCGATATATCTGATAGGTGCAATGGCTTGCGGTGGACTTGCTTGGAGATCTTGTGTTGGTTAAATACATTCAATAATCATCATGTTATCATAATCGATAATTGTATAATTAAAGATGTGTACCACGAAATATTGTGTTAACGAATTCCTAATTTAGGTGTAACGGCCGTACTCAGTCTCTAATTGGTCATTAAGGAAGTGCTTTAGTGTAGTTTCAGCATGAAATCTTATACTACACTAAGGCATTGTTTAAGTGTCTATTGGACTCTGCGTGCGGCTGTGAGTTTATATTATTGAAACCATTTAAAAATGCTTTTTAAAAGTTATAATGAATTTTATTCACCAATTGATAAAGCACTTTGAGTTGTAGTTTACTTGATGCAATCTAGTTAGATAGAAAGTTACAGAATATAAAAAAAGTATTTGATAAAATTATTACAAGTTTTAATTTTTGTTATGAATTTTTCCAGTCTTCGTAATATAATTTTGTCACATGCAAAAGATTCTGGTTTTAAAAAGTATGAAATGCATTAAGACCAGTGAAAGTGTCCTAAAAGTGAGTATTGAAATGCAACTTCTTGTGTTCACACAGATATGGACTTATGTTGAAGAAATAAGGGCAATTTCGGACTGTTATTTAAAGACAGATCGCTGGTTTTTCAATTTATTTCATATATTTCATTGAAGTGCTTTAGTTTTAAAAAAATTGATCATTGCCAGTGATGAGAAGTTTATATCAATTATGAGAGCATATTTTGCGTATTTTGTGGCGTTTCATAATTATAGGTATCCCCTCCATAACTTCATATACATATTTTTATCAGTATTTATCCTATAACCTAAAAAGTGTGTGTGATGTCAAGCAATTGGAAGAAAATTTGCATTTTGCTCACTTTAATTGTCATAGGTCCATAAAAATATCAACCATGATGTTATATGTTGGTAAATTTGCTTACGCTTTGCTGTGAGAACTCGGGTCATCGTCCTCGTTATCATCAGCTATATGTTCCTACTGAGGGGCTCGGAGCCTACCAAAAGTTAGAGGTGATTAGGTCATAGTCAACTACGCTGGCCCAGTACGGGTTGACTTCATACATATCTTTGAATTACTTCGCAAATATGTAGTTTGCATTATGACGTTTTCCTTCGAAGTACATATGTAAATCGAAAATCGAACCCTGAACCACTGATACTCTCTAATTGCTTGGCGTTTCAACATGGACTTTGGTAAGAAATTAGGATTTTTTCTAACTGGTAACCCTTAAAACTTGTCAAAGTCGATTTGTGACATCTAGAGTGATTAAAGGGTAGTATTGTTCCCTATATCAATTTTTTTTAAACTTTGATTCCATAGAAATGTTTTTAATGACAATGTTTGATTTTTTTACATTATATTTGTATGTATGATTTAACTTTGACTGCAGTGCACTTGTATTGGTACATATTATTCGTTTTTTTTTAAATAGAAAATGAAGGAATACGATATGCTTCAATACAAAGGTCTTTTGTGTGGTAAAATTGTATGTCCTAAATATTAAACAAAAAAATAAAAAAACAAGTGACACGAATCTTAGTATTTCAAAACTCTTTAAATGCCAAATATGTATTCCTTAATATACACTTAAAATATATTATTTTGTATAGATGTAGTTTTGTCATATAATGTAATTTTTTAAGCATTTTTTTTTCACTTTTCCAATTTGTAATATGACAACATTGTTAAGCAAAATGTTTAATTTTTAATTAAATTTTCTTGAATATGTCTGTAATATGACTTCAATGTCTTAATAATAACGAGGAAGTGAGATTGTTGGCAATATAATAATTTTTAATACGTTGACGAGAGCACTTTATTTTTTTCATGATAATAAATATATTTTTGATTGATTACTTTCTATATTCTTTAAAATTCAATTATAATTAAGACTTTTAAAAGTATTGTGATATCATTATATATTATAAGTATAATAATAGTTTGTTTACTATTTGAAAACTATGTTATTATAATGTGTAAGATTACAGGTTGTTTTATTTCTTAATCCTTTTACCTAAAACCTCTTTAAGAATTATTTGTGAAGACCCAAATAAATTTTTGACACAAGAAAGGATAACGCGCATACAAAGAAAAATGAAAAATATGTTACTTGCTAATAAATTAGCTTTAAATTATATAAACTGGTTTAATATAAGAAATTTATCTTTTGTATATTACATTGTGGATTAGAAAGACTCTGAATATGGTTTCGAATTGATAAAGTTCATTGGCATAATAAATGTAGGTATTTAAATTATACTTTGTGCATAGTAATTAAAAATTTCCTAATGGTATTCGGAAAAAACATCTATCGGCATGAATAGCACTATGCAAAAACGAAACAATCGTAAAAAGTCACAGAAAAAACTTATAAATATATATGTCGCATTCAACCTTCAACATACGGTTAATGAGGTTAGGAGGATGAGGATACGATTAGCCAGAACTCTAATAGTAACAAATTCAATGTTCTTTTAGGGGTCTAAAACAAAGTTATTATTAAAGAGAAGGTAACTTTGTTATTGCTGATTTAAAAAAGTCTTAGAGAACTATGGTTATGAGAATTAAAAGCATCACTCGAACTAGGAAGTGAATTTGTAGAGTAAAACCTTACAATGTCAATGCCACCCTATTCAAATATCGGTGGTCCAATACGGGGTATGCGAGTGATTGATCCCGGGCCGGGAGGGTTGTTCCCCTCCCCCCGGTCTCCTGGCCTCCCGGAATACGGACTGCCGGCACTCGCGCGCCAACTACCGCCGCGAGAGGGCGCTGCGCCGCGCTCGCGTCCCTCCGAACACGTGCTCTACGGTGTATACGTCGTTGTGTGAGTGACTCGCTCGTGTCTATAGTACTACGAAGCGGTACGCGTGTAGCATAGGAATCGCTCCGGATCTCCTAGTGCGTATTATTATGTTTGTTGCGGTACACTGCTGTTGTTCCCTTGGGATCGCAGGCGATTGATATCATGTTTGCGGATGTGGTTTACGCTAATCCAACGGCTAACCCTATTTAAATATAAAGCATTAAAAAATTATAGAAAGTAAGCCGTAATTCATCTTCAGTTCTAACATTATTTGGAAATGTTTTTATAAAAGCTAATCGTAAATCTACTATATATAAAACACGTTGTGACTATAGTAAGTCCGACCTCGAAGGACCAAAATAGTTGTCGGACTACTTTGAATTTTGTTGCCAAGATATTTTACAATTAATTCATGCCTTTCAGAGTAGTATTAACTTTGACTGATGGACTTGACCGTAACAGATATACGAGCATCGTTTAACAAATTGATTCCTTTTATTGTGTACATTTGTCTTTGTATTCGTGAGCTCGATCCGTGGCTTAATGTAACAGGAAACGGTGTTGCTTTAGGAAACGTTACGAATCGTTTTCGGGGGTCATTGTTCTTTTTACGTAGTTATGTTTTTTGCTTTTTAGGTAAACGATTTCTTTAATTATAATATTCATTTAAATTTATGTCCATTTTTATGTTTTTAGATTAAATATTTCTTAGTCGTTTTGTGTTTAACTCAAAATGGGTTAGCATTAAAAATAATGATGAAATAATCAATATAAATATAAAAGTGAGATGCAGTAGCATTTTCTTCTGTGGGTACGTGTAAGTGTCAGAAAAAATGGATGACAGTTCTCCTGACCTGTCGCTGAAGTTGCGACGGGGCTCGAGCGATTCGAGGGAGTCCTTTTACATGGACTTCGCGCAAGGAATCGACTCGGACATTGAAGAGGTGACAACAATCGAGCGGATAATTCCTGAGCATCCTGCCGGGCGGGACGGCGACGCGGACACCCTCGCGACACCTTCCGGACTTGATGACAAAGATCTCGCGCAATAGTAAGTACTGTTCTACCTAATAGAGTACTTGTATTATTTTCACGTAGATTATTATTGTAATTAGCACATAATTCTTTATACTGTTGTACTGGACCCGAAGTATCATATCTAAGGTACATTCCTACACATTGTAAACGTACGACCGCTTTAAAATTTCGGCGGAAGAGCACCGCTAGTACAACATAAACATGACCTCACGTTATTTCCATGACGTCATCCGAGGTAACCTCAAATAGATTTGTGTACGTTGCTATTCCCACCAAACAATATATAACTAAGACTGTCTAAATGCATCCAGAGTGGCACCAGTGTCTGTGTTTACAAATAAGACTAGCATTGTGGATGCAGCTTTGTACTAAACCATACTCTGCTTGCCCTCCCCTTGTAAATTGTTCCTTACATTGGTACGATTCGTTGAATTTCCAATTGTAACCATCATTTTTTTTCCTTTTACAGCACAAGATAGGAAAGAAAGTTTCATATTTAAAACTTTCATATTTTTTAAATCCTAATATGAACTTGAAATAGATATCAGTAATAATAGTTATCACGATTAAATTATTAATAACTTTATAATCTGTATTTAAACGAGGGCTAGGTCGGTGTTCATATACCAATATAATATTTCTTGTGGTTGTAACAATACGAATATTACAATATTTCCGTATAGTTTACATCAATATTATGTCAATTACAGATCATTTGCTTATTAGTTAAACTTAGAAAACAACACATCTTACGCTGCTGTATATGGCAACTAAACTAATTTGGTCCTGTAGGCCTATAAATATATAAAAGAAAGTCGTGTTAGTTACACTATTTATGGCTGAAAATTGGTGAGGACGTAGCTTTGAGCCAGAAGACGGAAATAGGATACTATTTATTCATTTTTTTTCGAATTTGAAGAAGAGCCTCGAAGAGCTGCTTTTTATTTAACTTATCTATATATTAAGTTTTTTTATATATCCACGCGGACGGAGTCGCGGGCGACAGCTAGTGTGTAATAAATGCGAAAATTTAGAAGGATGGAAAGGTGTTTGTCAGACGGTATCTCCAGAAGGATTGCATAGATCTCGCTAACTTGAACACATAGGCTACTAATTAAGACGGACGGTATCGCAGGCCACAGCGAGTTTCTTTCATATTTCTATAAAGCATCTGTTGGCAATTTTATATTCAATTACCGCTATCGGTGCAAATTAAATTTTCCTCCCTAATTATTACATTGGCAGCGAAATTCATTTATTGGTCTAAAATTAAAACTCAGCAGCACGATCGAATACAACGGGAAAATAATTGGCGCTCAGTTAAAATAAGCAATAACCAATAAAATTTCGAAATTGGCGTTTATATTTCTAACAGGGTTTGTATTAATTATTTATAGTATTGACATGTTTTCAGGTAATTTAATCCGACAAAAGTTACATCTTTTGGCTAGTATACTATCTCCTAGGTTGAAGATGTTTTTTTAGACTGGTATTAATTATGTTCTGGAGATACCTTCAAACAAACATCCATTCATCCATCTAAATATTCGCATTTATAATATTATTTTATATATATATATATATATATATACATATATATAGTTACTTTATCCGTAGTAGTGTATTTTTTATGTTTATTAAAGCCTAAACTGTTGACATTACCTAAAAATCTTCAAAATATATGATCATAATTACAAATGGTAATTTACATTATAATAGCTGTCATTTGTTACGTTTTTATTTAAATTATCTTATAAAACATCGTTGAAACGGGTTTATCTGACCGCTTGACATATGGTCTCAGTTATCTGACCCTAGGGTCTGTAGAGAAAGCCCTCTAGATCGGATACGACCTGTCTGACTGGTATCAATGGCACACATTCAAGCACTAACGTTGATCTCATTGTGTTCTATAGTTATATAGGGCGAGATAATTGCACCGGATTTGTTACCGTTTAAAATATTCTAATGCAAAATAAATTTTACTAATATTATAAATGTGAATGTTTAGATGGATGTATGTTTGTTTGAAGGTATCACCAGAACCGCTGCTCGGATCCTGATAAAATTTGGCACGTATATAGAACATAGTCTGGAAAACACTTAGGCTACTAATTATGTTTTTTTTAATCCCGCGCGGACGGAGTCGCGGGCGACAGCTAGTGTAAAATTAAATTGTATATAGCTTTTATATTACAAAATAAAATTCGAATTTTACAGTTATTTACTGAAACTGATTGGTAAACTTTATTATTTGGCGATGACATTTGTAACCTATTTCTTTTTACACAATTCTTATTTATGCTGTGAAGTGTTGACGGAACGTAATTCGATTCCTAAAAATAAATGTTTATTTTACGACACCTTTTATTGATTTTCTTAACGCCAAATTTTTTTTTATTATTATTTCATATATGATTTATGTTCTATGTATCTTTATGGCTGTATTATATACTATCTTTTATATCTAGTGTGTTCCTATTTAGCGCACTTCATTGTTCAGGTGCGGTTTTTAGGATTAGAAAAAGGAAAATTCTCATTCTCATGACCTGGTTTTGTTCCTGCGAAATGCTGCAGATTCTAGGCATCGTATAACAAAAGCGTTTCTTCCCGTCTAATATCAAAAAGCGTTACATCCCAATCTATTATATATATGTATTTTTTAAAACAATTGATAAAATGAGGCTAGATCTTATTTCTTACTAATATTATAAATTCGAATGTTTGCATGGATGAACGGATGTATGTTTATTAGAAGGTACCAAAACGGCTGAATTGATCTCAAAGAAATTTTGACATAGATGTAGAACTTAAGTGTAACATTTTTTTATTCGGCGCAGGCGGAGTCGCGTGTGACAGTTACTAATAAGTTTATCAAATGATGTTTTATTATATTGTGTATTAGAAAAAATGCAGGATCCTTTACGTGTCTTTTATAATTTAAGATATTTAAGACAACTTCAAAAGAATCGGACTGTTTTTAACTTAACTGATTGTTAACCACTAGAAAAAAAATCTCAAAGTGCATTTTGCTAAGTTAGAATTAAGTGATAAAGTATCCAACCTTTTAATAGTCAAACATTTTGTTGCGAACTTTCAAAAACTCTTCACTGT